AAATTGCTCCCAAGGCTAAAAAGATCAGTCATATTTGTGATTTGGTCATTCCAAGATTGAAGAGAACCAAATTGCTCCCAAGGCTACTAAAAAGATCAGTCATAATGAGGATTTGTCCTATGATTTAGATGGTAGCAGCCCAGCAATAGGTGCTGAGGTTAGGGGTTCGAGTCCCCACTTGGTCGCGCTTTTTGAAAGACTCTCTGGAGTGCAGCGCCGCCCTTCGGGGCCACTACTAGCTGCATTCTCCCTTCRGGTGTAGGAATGGTTCTGGCCATATAGTGGTGCCTCTACTAGTTTATTTATATCTTTGACAGTTCTACAGTTCTACAGTTCTCAGGACAAGAAGGAGAAGGCAAATTCAGAACAGAACTAGTCAATTGGGAGTTCTGTTCTAAAGTCACTCAGTAGGATCACTACTGAGATCTACACAATCCAAGAACTTTGGAAATGAGTTCACGATCGACTACTAGTACTGTACGGATGYATATTTCTACTATTTCAAGCTATCAATTACAACTCAATAGATTCACTATAACACAGGGAATCGTGTGATAGTGGATCCTTTGAGCAACACAGTTTTATTCATTTGTTATTCTAATTACTGTAGATAACAATCTAAACACTACTAAAACATTCTAGTAGTCAACAATCAAGTACACATTATTTTGTKCAGCTGGAAATTAGTGGGGATGCGGTTGCAGAAGCTGCTGCAATGATGATGGAAGGTTGGAATATTTGTATGACAACTCAGCAGCCCACAAACAGTCTGGATTTGAATGTRTTTGACCTTGGATTCTTTAACTCCTCCATACAAAGAAATTTACAGGCAGTAGTACTACAGCAACAAGATGAAATGATCAAATAATATTGATCCTCATTTGATCAAAGGAAATGTTGAGAAAACATTTGATGAGTGCAATTGTGAGACATTGATAAATGTATTTTTATCCCTTCACCAGGCTTGTATGCAGCATCACTTGGTGTCAGTAATGATGACCATTACAAGCTTTCCCATACGAGAAAAGCCAGTTTGTTGCATCAAGTGTGCAGTTGCCCCCGTGATCCCAATTGTATCATGGAAGGGCAACAAGTGCTTGCTAATGCTGCTGCCAAAGCTCAGACAACAGCACACTAGTAGCAACAATAATTAGCTATACTACTACTACTACTACTACTACTACTACTACTACTACTACTACTACTACTACTACTACTACTACTACTACTACTACTACTACTACTACTACTA